ATGCTGCTGTCTTATTTTAAGGCAGTGTTTAATAAATTGTGCCGTGTTGGTCTGCACCCTGTGAAGAGTTATAACAGACGAGGAACACAAAATGAGAAAGCTGGCGTTATATTACAAAATATATTGTAGATATAAAAATAACACTTATATGTGCATGGCAACACCCTAAAACTTAAAACAAAAAACTAATTGACCAAAGCTGGTAATCGCAACTTAAAAACGACCCAGTTAATTTTGTTTGATTTTTACGACATGGAAGCAGTCGAATGAATGTATACTAAGTATAATGCAACATATGCCAGGGACTATGAATAACGTAAACGTCAGAGTGACTTGTACACCGGTCACATAGTTCGTGTTTATTTGAGTAATACGTCAACGTGTACATTACATATATATAACAATTGTTTAATAAATACTAAATATGTCAACAAAATGTAATATGTAAGATATATGTTCAATCGTGTTGCAATTGCAGACATCTTTCGCGACCTTTGACCGGAACACTTATTTCATGATTTATTGCTGTTTACGCATTTCAAGGTCAGAGTATTATAAAAATGACACTGTGATATTCAAGGTGGCTGCCAGAAACCATGATAAATGGCGATCTACGGCAAATCATTTTCCAAAAAGCAAACAATTTCATGAATTTTTTTTTTTTATTTTGAATAAATTGCTTATTGATATTCATAATCATATGTTAAAAGTAAAATATAATGGGCTACAGGCCATTTTTTTTCGGATAAACGTGTTATTACCCCCCACGCTGATTGCAGAGTTACATGTGACTGTATGGGGGAGAAGTAAAACATGATCAGTGCTTAGTCGCTAGAGGGCGTATTTAATTGAAAAGGTGTATTCGCATCCTTATATCAAGGCGCAGTGCGCAGAACAATTAGCACAAACAAGGATGAAGACAAAACAACTTAGTAGGCAAATGTCAAAAGTACAATTCCCGACAAGCCAGATATTAATATAGCATGTCTGACAAAAATAGAAGCGGTATAAAATTACCACAGTCAACGCATGTAAGATGTCAAATGCACTCAGTGCGTACACGAATTTCAAACAAGCGTTGCGTCACCTGCGCATACGCCAGATGGCCATAGCGTGTCATTGTTTACAAACATGCGTCTACCCGTGAGCCTTTGCGTTTATTCAGTGTGTGTTGTTACCGTCGCTTGGGACTCAATTCCCGCGCGTGCGCAGGTGACGACCCTCCCGCTTTAAAAAGTGACGGTTGTATATTATGCGTTATTTCAAATTGTAGTCTGACGACATAGACTAAAAAAATCATATATTGTTAATGATCGGTCACTTTGTTGACGTCAATTACATCGAAAATCTGGGTTTTAAAAAGTGTCAAAAATACATAGCCATGTGTTCTATGTAACTGTAACACATAAAAATGCTTTTTCAATGTGCTATGAAACAATAGCTCAATGATTTTTCCTAATAAACTAATGAATGTTGTCATGCGATTTATAACCAACTTTCTCTTTCTTCTGTCAACTGAAATCGGGAAACAAATGATGAATATTGCGATCCTCGGGTATTTTGGGTTCAAGAGAGATGCACGTGAAAAATAATTCAACCAGAAATACGCAAACGACGCCAATAAAATTGAGTTCCGTCAGCAGTGACAATTGGCTGTACGGTGCTAATCGGCGTCTGATTTTTATTGTTGAAATTAAGTCGATTAAGATGATTTTACATATATCAAGAAACTACACCCCATAAAACCCCATAACGCAGTATCTATAATCGCTGTATTCCAGGGCCCATTTATTAAGTGATTAAGTTATGAAATACAACTTCCCATGATTTTAGAATAATTTCCTCGTAACGTTTCATGTACAAACAAATGGTTATATTATTCTTGACACTTGGTGGCGCTATAATCGTACAACAAGTTCTGTCAACAAGTTATATATTAACATACAACACTGTCAAGAATTTTAAGTATGCAGGAAAAAAAACATCATCACATGTTCGATATAGGATCTATAACAACATATATAATGCATGTAAAATTCGAACAAACATTGCACAATAACTGTAGCACTTCACCCATTTTTCTCACTACTGTGCTGCTTGCAGCTACCTATATCACAAATTTATAAAAATCAAATTACCTAAACAAGTATTTTTACTTTAATTGCATTGATAATGTGAAGTTGTCGTATATAAGGATACAGCATCACATGAATAACAACCGATAAATGCAAAATGATTCTTGAAATATTCAGAATACCTGCCCTTTGTATTTATACTGTTTCAGGGGATTCAGCTGAATTTAAAGCGCGGTGGTCGTCGCGCAGCGCGTGTTTGAATTTTATGTAAATAAACAATGTATTTTACACGCGTTGTATACGTTGCTATGAGTCCTATACCGAACAGGACGCGCCGCAACGACTACCGCCCTTTAAAGGATAACTTATTAAACAATGCCAGGCCTTGAAAGATAAGGATATAAACTTTCATAACCAATTTACATATGCAATGAAGATTTCACAAAAAGTAAACTTCTGTGCTTTGCAAGCATTTGAAAATGATCGCATTTCATCAATTGAATGCATTTCTAACCAATAGCATCACAGAACACAGAAGACGCTTGGAAATGTTCAATTCTATAAATAGAAGTGAGAGAATCTATCGCCGTATTCAGAACCGCAAAATGCATTTATTACACATAAACTTTGCGAATCATCAAGAACACTACCAAAAACTGTCTTCGATGAACATACTCATTAATTTGCATTAGGATTTCTAGAAATGTTGTTTGTCCTGCAATTTTGAGATCAATTCCCATTAGATCTTCAACGCATATCACGCCCCTGCATACCCCAATCTTATAAACCTTTGACAATACACACATAGTCTCGATGCTCCCTAGGCAATGTGAGATAAACACAAGTCTCATACACAGTTAAACCAAATCATCCATCTTTAATGACATACTATTGTAAGTTCATATATAGGTCAACTTTCAAAGCATTTTCCAAATACCCACAGACAGTTCCAATCTTCTAAAATATTGTTTAGACTATGTCACACAACAATAATATTCACAAGATAGCTTAGCTTGGATGTTGTAATCACTCAGTCACATGATTCTGGGCATGTGGCATCGATGAAAAATTCCCTATCAAATGCGACAGATTATTATTTTTCTTGTTTAAAGAATGCATGCCACTAAAATAAATTAATTAAAACAAGTAAATGTTAGATAAAATACAACAGAAATAATCATAATCAAATCAATATACATGTAATTATATCAATATTTTAAGATGATAACACGCAATGGTCAGAGATTTACTTCCAAATTGCTTTGATATTTTTACTAAATCCTTACATACTAATTAACTAATACATGCGTACAAATTAATTATCAAATCCACACAT